ATGGCCAGAGGTACCATCTTATAGAGCAGAAAGACAGACACCTAGGAAATTAATACCATGGAAAGCAGCTTTGATTATCTACTTCTAGTTTTCTTTTATAAGGAAAAAAACCCCAAAACTCTATCTTATTCAAGCCACTGATTTTAGAATTTTTAAAACCAACAAAAGAATTCTTAACTAACATAATGAGGGATCTTTTTCTGGGAAGAAAATCAGATGTATTCAATCAGGATCTCCAGGGCTTTGGCCTGGGAAATCAGACTTTTAAAAAGCTCACCAGCTGACTCTGACGCAGCTGATCCACCGGAGGGTATTTAGGATTCACTCATAAGAAGTAACAAATAATGAGGATTCCCTTCTCTGTATGAATATACCAATATATAGGCCAAAGAGACAAATACACTGTTTTTCCAACAGGAGTTATAGATTTGCATAGTCCTTGACACAGACTAGGTTCTCAATGCTTAGCAAATTGACTACAACTTCTAATCACTTAATCCTTTCACTTATTCCTGTCCTTATCCCGCAGATGATACAGAAGGGGATGATCACAGCCATGAACAGTGGAGCTAACAGATCCATGTGGGTGATCAGAATATAAATTTTTATTTCATCAGGTCTGTGCTCTCATGTAATGAGCCAATCAGTCTACAGATAGGTCAACTTTCTGATATATAAAACAGGAAATAATTTGAAGAGTTTTCACAGACCAACGTGGGTAAGACAAATTATCAACATTTATGAAAACAGGATAGGACATTAAAGACCTAAATGAAAATAAAAATTCCTAGTGGTTATATATGTTTTACCCTAAAAATTTATTCAGTAAATACTGTTTTACTAACTTCCTTTATCTTTCTGTGCCTCCTCTTTATTCTATTAAAGCATCTCATTTACTTACATCATGGCCAAATGTCTTTTATCATAGTACAGCCTAATCTGGAAATCTGCTACAACAATCATGTATAATGGTTTTATTTGTTGTAATTTGTTTTATACTATTGAAGAATCACTGGATTTTTAACATTTACTTTATTGACCAACAAATTGTCATACTTAATACTGGTGTTGAAGACATTAATGGATGCTTATACTATAAATACAAAATCTAAAGTACTTTTTAACATTTTAAGTTTCTATTTGTAATACTTCTCATTAAAAATGTTACTTACAGATATTTTGTTACTTTCTGGTATGACTTCATTATTAAAAGTGTCACTTGTTTCTATATCCATCCTTGGCCGTTTTCTAATAGTGACATCTTCCTCTTGTTTTTGAACTTGCACTTCAATTTGTAACTCTGGTTTTGTGTTTTTGAATAACTCTTCCAATAAGTCATCTTCTATAGCCAAATCATCAATTTCTTTTCTTTTATTTAATCTTAGCTTTTCTGTAGAAAGAGCTGTATTGGCAGAATTTTTCACATTGGAATTTAAATCTGTATCTGTAAATAAGTTATCTGATTTTTCGTCCATAGATTCATTCTGAGATAGGTACTGCTCCTTATTTTTCCATACTGAGGATGTAGTAGGTTGTGTTTGTCCTAAAAGAGAGCAAGACATTTCTATTCTTGCTGATTTGCATGAAGACATTTCTTGATTTTCTTCATCCCTTTCCCTGAGATTTAAAAAAGAGAAGAAAACAAAATCAGACAATGAACACAACTAAGTAATCTTTTAGTTTGGTAATATTCATAACTCCCACCATTTAATTCACATTGTACTCTGGATTTTATTATTAAACAATATCACTGGAATCAACAAATAGACATTTGAGAACAGTGTACAATTCACATATATTCTGCTGTTTTCATAGAACTGATGGACCCTGTGGCTAAAGCAATATGGAGATCTCTATCTTCTCTGCGGTGAAGTAGCAATAGTTGATAAAGGAATTGTAGGAAAAGGTATAAAAATGCAAAAATACAAAGGACCTGTTGCCCAGAGACAGTAGCTTACTTTACAATGTAGGAAACTTGTGGGCAGGGAAAAATTACCTTGGGAATATAATCTGATGGGCTAATGAGAGATGGATTCAAGATAATAAATCAGAATGGCTAAGTCTAGAA